GCGTAGGCTTACACAACTACAGGCAAAGAAAACAAAGCACATCATCTTCAAACGACCTACTTCAACAGGTTACCCTTGAGTTCGTACGGAAACGACACATGGATAGGTCCCAATAGTACGACAAAAGCGCGAGGAAGATTCTTCTGAAGTATGTCTATTGCTTCCGTTAGTGCGGTGACATTGGGTGAAGTGCATCTGGAGCACACCTACAAAAACATCGACATTGAAGAAATACCAATAAGCAAGCAGGATCGAAAATAACTGGGAGAATGCCAGCAAAACTTGCTACTCACTTCTTCGGTGCCGATGGTAACTATGACCATTACCCAGTGATCTCTGTAGTTCACTTCGACCAGATTTCTCAGCCGCCTGACAAGTTCTCGGGCCTAAGTAAGTACATAATTGAAAGCTAAAAAACTGCCTTGCAAGCAAAATGGCAGGGATTCTGAACGCATTCATGGGCACATCACGAAAGCGGATGAGCACGCCTAATGGGTAACAAGCGTGCAATCAGCAACCATATTATAAATTGTAACACGACAGAGCCCTCCAACAAAGCCAAAAAATGTTGGCCAGCAATTCGCCTGCGCACCGCAAGCGATTTCCACATTACCCAGGTTCAAGCCTTGTGTAGTGAATGGACAGCAGGTCGCTTTCATACTTTGCGAATGTTAAGAACGCGAAAAATCGGCAGAACTCGCGACCTGTTAAAGGGCAGGGGCACTCATTTCCTATCTACGTGGCCGATCTTTGGAGCCGACTTTCCCAACTCGCGATTCTCCACCTCCGCAAAGTATGAACACGGCCTTTGAGGCTTGATTTTACCTGTTCTGGCATCTTGTCTGTCGTAGCTCCACTTTCAGCGACACTCAACTGCGTTTCAGGAAGCTGATCTCTTGTTCCCATACCATGAGAAACACCAACTAAGTGATTGTTGAATTCACGAAGGATATCTACAATACAATGATCTTGCATTTTCAAGGAAACTTTTATGAACATTCTGGAACATACTTGGGATTGTAATAAGTCCATCGATTGTGGCATCTCCACCACTTGGGAAGGCAGCTCCACGGAATTCAATAGTCGTTTTGGGCCATAGACCCATCCCAGTCTGGAAATTGTCTCTTTGTTGTTACTTCACAACCTTCATTTACTTAGCTCGTAGGCCACTAATTATGCATTTCATCGTAACCATGCGAAATAAAGAAACCCATAAAATCCAAGCGCGGCAACGTAAAGGCATGTCCCACGCTGGTCGCAGGGGAGGAAAACAATGAATAACTGGAAGTCGCACTGGCGCGCCCTGCAACGGCGGTAAGACATCGTTCATACTTCGCAATTAAGCTCCTAATGCGCGTCGACGCCCTACAATCGCAACAGCGTTTTGATCCCGTAAACGCGAACGTAGCTGCAGACGGAAATCGATTAGCGCCGCCCGCTTGTGTTTCGAAAGGCAGCATAGGATAAAAGGAAGATACGCCTGGTCATAATGCAGCGTCTGCTCTCACAAAACATAAGCGACCTGCGCGGATGGATTCCCGTCAGCGGCTGCGTTTGCGTCTATAGGATCGGAGCGCTGTTTCAATTGTAGCGCCTCGACGCGCCTCGTCGCGAAGTCTGAACGCTGTCTAAAGAAGAACGCGTCGATGGAAAACAGTACAATGCCTCCGCGTGCCTATACTGTCAGCCTCTGAAAACTGGCAGACCTTATCGGAAAGAAATCCCGAATTAGCATGAGTTTACGCGCGCTAACGGCAACAAAAGACAATCACGCGCTATGCAAGCACGTAAAAGCCAACAACATCAATCACAAGCAACATGAGTTCAAAAATTAAGCCTCAAAGACAAATCTACAAAGGTAAAATCACAGAGTCATGCCCTTACTCAGTCGAGAACAGAATTCAAAGTAAAACATGCAAATGCGCTTGTTTGTTGTATCAAAATGAACTCTCAAAAGCGCACGATACAATAGATCACATTGGCATCAGTCGAAATTTAGCTAGCAAAATGCCAAACCTTGCAAAACCACAAAACACCATACCATACAAAAGGGAATCAAGGGAACCTACTCACTAGAAATCGATGACTAAAGCTGCAAGACTAATAAATCTTAATAAATAAAGCAAAAATTAAAGCAAATAACACAGAGGTGCTGAAAAATAATTATGTAATGCTAAAGATCACTTACCGCCAGAGCATCACCCATTGAGGCGATAATTCTGATATCTTCAGGACTGAGATCACCTATGGACGTACCAGTTTTAAGGTCGCTCTTTACCTTTGGACAAGCGAAGGATTTCCTGAAAGACTCTGCGGAGTAAAATTGTTAAAACGCATTCGAAAATAGTTCCAAGAAACAAATAATGCAAGTAGCACATTTAAAAAACAAGGGGGAAACAAAGAGGAGAGAACATGCGCGACATGAGTTTGAACAAGAAGTGGGATGTCTAAGGAAATAATGGTCGGCAAAATCTAAGCTCAAAGTGTGGGCATCCGCACCAAAAGGTAAACCTTGATTATACTGTTCATACCCGACAACTGACATGAACTTAAAGACAGTCCTTGCCTTTAACCAATTCGTAAGCGTCCTTCCCGTACAAGAGTCCGGCCCTCCGTCTCTAGACTCTAAAACCCCACTTTCACGGCTTTGCAGTAAGTAACGGAGCTGCTGTGGCCCACATAAGTGGCAGTTCTGACGCCTCTCTAGTTACCCCGCCTACCGAAACTCAGTTAGATGGTATTAGAATGGGTTACGCAAAAACAATTAGTGAGCCAGAGACGCCAGGATACCGCTTTGCCGGGATAAAACAAGCATTTCCGGACAACTGTATACAGTGAGGCTTTTAGGGACAGGGGGCCTTACGGCGCTTTCACTATTTTTTGCTTTTTTCTTTCTTGTAGGGTCACTCTACAACAGTAGCTTCGTTACTGAAGGACACTACCACAGTATGCAATCGCGGGTTTGCCTTCAAGAAAATTGACAGTATGTAACACCATGACTTCAACACCTCGCGAAGAGCTCTTGAGTTGCAATCACACTGTTCAAATGCGATGAATGTGCGAGGAATCCGTGATCATGGACCAGATAAGTGCCGATCTACAGCGTCAGCTGGCGTTTTCGTAGAGCCCAGGACCCGGGAGACATACTACTGCTAGTGGGCGTAATCACCATCTAGTCTCTTAACGCCGATTCTCCTGGACAGCGGATTCTCCACATTCGCTGAGTATGAAAGCGGCAAAAGTTGAGTGAACTTTGACGGCTTGCACTTTTGGCTTAGTTTCTTTCAACACAGCACTTTACTATTTTTCTTTCCGGAATAATCCCGTTATTCGTAAACACCATTAATCAAACAGGCGATGCAGAAAAACAAAGATCTCACCTATTATTGAAAGCGCTTTCAATAACAACGACAGGCGCCATTCGCCGCTGGTCAGGAATCACTTGCTTTAGGCCACCTCGATTGTCCCCAAGAAATACGCCACGATCTTCATTTCTGAAAGAAAAGTAGTGAGATCGGAATTAAACACAGAACTTGCAGAAAGATCAGTGACAAAACAGACAGTTATAGAAGGAGCGAGGGTAACACTACATGCGCATGCACATGACGCCAAATACAGTACTATGGCAAATACCTAATCCCAGACCGAGAGTGATTGGAAAGAAGTACAGCAGTGACGCGCCTGCAAAAACTCTACAATAATTGAAATACCACAGAAACACTGGAAGACATTTTCCACAAAATAACATTCATTAAGTGTTTTTCTAGTACAAATGGGACTGAAGAAGGAGCTGTGGAGAGCTGGACCTTTTTTCCGA